AGCAATCAGGCGCCCACCTGGAGAACAAGGGAAGACAGTTCAAGTTTCAAGGGAAAGCAGTTTCGAAGGAAGACAGTTCAAGTTCAGCAATCAGACGCCCACCTGGAGAACAAGGGAAGACAGTTCAAGTTTCAAGGGAAAGCAATTTCAAAGGAAGAGAGTTCAAGTTTCAGCAATCAGGCGCCCACCTAGAGAACAAGGGAAGACAGTTCAAGTTTCAAGGGAAAGCAGTTCAAGTTCCATAGGAAGGCAGTTCAAGTTTCGGCAGTCAGGCGCCTACCTGAAGAACAGGGGAAAGCAGTTCAAGATTCAAAGGAATATAGTTCAACTTTTGGCAATCAGGCGCCCACCTGGAGAACAAAGGAAGGCAATTCAAGTTTCAAAGGAAAGCAGTTCAAGCTTCAAAGGAAGACAGTTCAAGTTTCAGCAATCAGGCACCCACCTGGAGAACAAGGGAAAACAGTTCAAGTTTCAAAGGAAAGCAGTTCAAGTTTTGAAGGAAGACTGTTCAAGTATCGGCAGTCAGGCGCCCACCTGGAGAACAAGGGAAGACTGTTCAAGTTTCAGCAATCAGGCGCCCACCTGGAGAACAAGGGAAGACAGTTCAAGTTTCAAGGGAAGCAGTTTCGAAGGAAGACAGTTCAAGTTCAGCAATCAGGCGCCCACCTGGAGAACAAGGGAATACAATTCAAGGTTTGGTAATCAGGAACCCACCTGGAGAACANGGAGAACAAGGGAAGACAGTTCAAGTTTCAAGGGAAAGCAGTTTCGAAGGAAGACAGTTCAAGTTCAGCAATCAGGCGCCCACCTGGAGAACAAGGGAAGACAGTTCAAGTTTCAAGGGAAAGCAGTTTCGAAGGAAGACAGTTCAAGTTCAGCAATCAGGCGCCCACCTGGAGAACAAGGGAAAACAGTTCGAGTTTCAAGGGAAAGCAGTTTAAGTTTCAAAGGAAGACAGTTCAAGTTTTGGCAATCAGGCGCCCACCTGGAAAACAAGGGAATTCACTTCAGAATGCAATAGATGATCAACAGAAGTTAGTCACAATCCAGAATAAAAAAGAAGAAGTAAGAAGTGAATCCAAATGCAGAAGTAGATGAAAGATGTGAGTTGGTCAAGACATGGCTAAGGTCACAAGCACTGCATGTCCGATCTTGATCCGAAAAGCTGAAGAAGAATGAACTAGCACCTGCAGCTAGCAAGCGTCAAGGTTCAAATCTAAAGTTTGCATGAAGAACCATTCAAGACTCAAGATCAAGCTTCGGAAGACTTATAGATAGAAATCTTGTAACTCATAGTTGACATGCTTAGTTAGTCTTTTTCATTTTTTTGATTTTGATGTAATAATAGGACCGCGGACCGGAACCTCGACGGAACGGCACCTCGACCGGCTCTTCTTCTCAGTATACTCCATCACCTTATTCACTTCTGAACTACACGTGGCCTGATTCCTTTATAGCCAAGGATATGTAGGCAACTCAGATACCAGGGCTCGGTCACATTCTCCTTTCTCTTAGTTGTTGGTCTCCCTAAATAAGGGTCGGTCAAAAAACCTGTCTAGTCGTTCTTTGTTTGAAAATACTTCGTGTTTCCAGTCAAAGAGGGGCAATTGTAGACATGTGATTTTTGACCTTCCCCAAGATTTTATATATTTTAGCATGTAAATATTTAGTTTAGGCCTAATATAGTTATTTCAACTAATTTTGACTCTTTTACTTTATTTTATCACAAAATATGAAAATTACAAAAAATAGTTTCATTAATATTTTGTAGTCATTTTTAATCTTGAAAAAAATACCAAAAATAAGTCTATTTTAACGGTTAGTGATTATTTTAATAGTTATTTTATTTAAGTAGGATTAATTAGTAAGTAAGGTAGTATTTCAGTCTTGTTCAAATAGAAAGAATACAATTTGGGCTCAAATAACCCATTTTCTCGGCCTAATTTTCGGATCTAGCCAAATAACCTTAGCCCATAATTCCTAGGCCCATACCCCTTAACCTAAAAAACCCTAAAAAAACTAACCTAGTAGCTAAAGACCCTAGACCTAGAAGACTTGAGCTGACAACCGATTTTGAAAAAATGAGGACCCCCCTCCCATCGGTTCTGCTTCTTCTCCACCCCTTTTCCACTGACCAAACATTCAGCAATCAAGACCCTTAAGCAGCAGCCATAAACACAAGCCCCCTCTTCTTCAACCTAAGAAAACCCTAGGCTTCATCTTCTTAACAAAAACCAGCCGTTACACACCACCAATATCACAACCGCCGACGAGCTAACCGGCGACGGCTACTACTTTCCCAACTCCGTCGTTTTGCCCCTTCTATGTTACTGCTACGACGAAGGTACATATCTGGCTAGAAATCCGGCGAACCACCAAACATGAGCCAAAAATTGAACTCCAGCATAAAACAGCCCTCGTGATGTCCAAAACCGTCGTCCAAGCTCAGTCGAGTTGAACCCGGTCGAGGTCAGTGTCGATGCTTTCCATTTGAGATCCCGCTCAAGGTCCGGTCTGTTTTGAGTGTTAAGGTCGTCCATTAATCGAGGACCAGATTCATTTCAAAGAGTTGAGTTCGATTTCGGGTCTGATGAGATCGTCCGCTCGTTGATTCTCCTCGCGCTTCGAAGGTCGGGTTGATGGTCTTTCATCATTTCCAGATTTGCTTAATATTCATTGTTCAACTTTTGTTAATAATTTTGAAGGCAACAGTTTTGTATTTGAGGTTCATTCTTATCTCTGCTCTATTTATCTATTTTTTTTTAGAGCTTTATGCATGCTTTTTTCTGGTTGATATTGCTTTGTCGAGCAATGTTTGAGTGTCCTTCTTAATTATTATTGTCTGTTACTAAAGATGTTATGCTCAACCAAATATGTTTTATTCAGCACTTTGGTGTGATTAATGACTTTGTTTTCTTGGTGATTGTTTTGTTAAGAGGATGAGAATGGCTGGGCAGTGGGGTTGTGGGGTTTTTAGAAAAGGGATTTGGATTTTTTAAGAAAAAGTGATCATAGCAAATACGTAATATTAATATTGGTTGAGTCCTTTATTTCGCTTTATTTAATTAATCTGTTAGGAGCATGCTAGGCCGTCAACACCAGGGTAGGCGAACCTTTTAGGCGCGTTTTGAATTTATTATCATGATTATGTACACGTTCGCGTGACATGATTACGGTTTCTAAAATGAACATTCGTAGCTTGCTTTAGGTACGTTTAGTATATCGTCGTGATTGTGGATACGTTCGCGTGACATAATTACGATTCTAAAATAAAATCGGGGTATGCGTTCGCGCAACTTCGACCAAAATTTTCTTAATATTAATAAAGCGTTACTAATTGTGGACACGTTCGCGTGACACAATTTTTGACGCGCCAAACAAATGGGTACACGTACGCGTGACCTGTTTTAAGATAATTTCTTAATTAAAAAAGGGCAAATGCACATAGGTTCAAAAATTAGTAATTAAACAATTTGATTAAGTCAAGTATGATCAAAGCGACCGTGCTAGAACCACGGAACCCGGGAATGCCTAACACCTTCTCTCGGGTTAACAGAATTCCTTACCCGGATTTCTGTGTTTCGCAGACATTAAAACATAGTCAAATCTCCTCAATTTGGGATTCTAGACCGGTGACTTGGGACACCATAAATTATCCAAGTGGCGACTCTGATCTTAAATAATAATCCCGTTTCGATTGTCACTTAAATTGGAAAAACTCCTTATCTTACCCTTTCGGGATAGAAAAAGGAGGTGTGACACATCTTATGTGGTATACATGGCGGGTGAATGAGCCCATATTCACCTTTGATATTTCCAGTATTCATGGAATTCAATCCCAATTTTAATTGGTCTATTAATTAATGAGAACAACAGAAGAGTATTCGTAAAGAACTTTCTAGTTCTTTAATATTTACCCATGTGAATTATCTTTTATTTTTGCACATCATACTTAAATTAACATGGTTAAATCGATTATGCCAATTGAATAAATTATCAATATTGATAAAGTTTAGGTTTACACCATGACGTGTGCAATTATCAATAAACTATAAGTTTATTATGATATGGGTTTTTATATCAATAAACATCCACTTTATTGTGGTATTCTTTTATTTGTGTAGTACAAACTGGAGAATAAAGCAGGTAAATTTTCACATACATATTACCCTGCTATAAGTTGTAGTAATAGAAGATATTAAATCTTTCTTTTATTATAGTCTCAATATAACCAATCATTTTCGGGAATACTTTATAAACTAAATAAGTTTCTTTTAGACTTACTACAACACAATATCTTATTGATAATCAATTTTATTTCTCCAAAATAGTATAATTGGCTCTTCCAGAGCTTTCAATTAACTTTGTACTATCACAAATTCATCAACATCCATATGCTGAATATCTCTTTCAAGGAGAAAGTTATCATTATGGTCATGGTCAAAATCATTATAGGCAAGATATGTTGCTTCTATTACTGTTGCCCTGTAATAATCACATTGCCATAATATTTTGGCGTACAATAGGTATGTGACCAGTGACCATTCATGCCATAATAATGACATTATTTTCTTATTTTCCTTCAAACTCTCTCCAGAGATTAGTGTGGTATATTCGCTACCACTAGCACGTTCATATTCTTTCAAGACTGAATATGTATTCATAAATCAGATGTTGTCACATTCACATCATGAATGGACCATAATCATCTATACGTGCTATACAAAATCTCATGTCAAATCGATGACAAACATTACTTTCATAGAGTGAAGGATTATTTTGACAATCCTTATTATTCTCATTACCACAATGATGACGATTATAATTTCGTCTATTGCCACGTCCACATCCATTGATACCTTCATGGTAATAATTTTGTCTTCTTTCAGATTTATTACATATTGCTACCACATTCTCCTAAGGGAATGAGAATGAAGCAAATTCAATGTAACGGGTTTCCACATCTTGTGCTCACGATCATAAATGACTTTGATCATGGCAAGACATAAAAAATTTAGCACTTCGAGTGGTTATAATTTCTTACTAACTCCATTAGAGTTATAATTAAAATTTATTGTCTTTGCTTGTATTTAAAATTAAATTATAGAATAAAGAGAAAAATACGGTAAAATACATATCTTAAATCAAGAATTTAATCATGAAGAAAGTTTATGGAACAATTGACAACCATTATGCTCAATCCCAAAGCTTTTACTCAATTGGTTAGTGTCTCGTGCTGATAACGTGTTATGAAACAATAAAGAAGAAGAAGAGTATTGCAGAGAAAAATAGAGAGAGAATTCTTATTGCTTTGAGATCCATTACAATGGAATAGAACCCCACTATTTATAGGGAAAAAGAAACTTAACCACCTAGTAACAAACTCTAAAATCTCTCTAAAATATAGACATCCACCAAAAATAAAATACTATTTATAACAAGGGTATCATTTTTGTTACTCGCATTAGTAATACTTGCATAAAATATACATGAAATTATGTATTATTATGCATAATAAAAGGTAAATAAGAATATATTGATTACTGTAAAAAGATTAAACCAACTAAAGAGACCAAAATAACCCTCGTGTATTACATAATTATTATTAAATAAAAAAACCAAGAAATTGGAAACCAAGGAAAAGTGAAAACCAAGAAAGCAGCGTCTCTGAAGCCAGTGGAAAGTGTAGACGATGAGGAGAAGAGGGCGAATAGGGAGCATTATAAGTTGGCTAAGAAAGAGGCAAAGTTAGCAGTTACGGCGGCCAAGACTGCAACTTTTAGTCGTTTGTATGAGGAACTCGAGGGTCGAGGTGGGGATAAGAGGTTGTTCAGGTTAGCCAAGGCGCAAGAAAGGAAGGCGCGTGACTTGGACCAAGTGAAGTGCATCAAGGACGAAGAAGGTAGAGTTTTGTTAGATGAGGGGCTTATCCGTCGGAGATGGCAGACCTACTTCCATAGTCTCTTGAACGAGGAGGGGACATGAGCATTGTATTGGGTGATTTGGAACTCTCCGGGAGTCGTTTCAACTTTGGGGTATTGTAGGCGAACTAGAGTTGATGAAGTTGAGGGGGCTTGCGTAAGATGAACAGGGGCAAAGCGATCGGGCCGGATGAAATCCCGGTGGAGTTTTGGAAGAGTGTGAGCAAGGCACGCTTGGAGTGGATCACTAGGTTATGTAATGTCATTTCTAGAACGAAGAAGATGCTCGTAGAGTGGAGAGAACACGATGGTTCCTATATACAAGAACAAGGGTGATATCTAAAATTGCAATAAATAAGTCTGTGAGAGAGTGGTAGAGCTAAGGGCGAGGGGGAATGTATCTATTTTCGAGAAACAGTTTGGGTTTATGCCGGGACATTCGACAACAGAAGTCATCCACCTTGCTAGGAGATTGATAAAGCAGTATAAGGAGAGGGAGAAGGGCCTGCATATGGCGTTCATCGACTTAGAAAAGGCATATAAAGTTCTGAGGGAGGTTTTGTGGAGATGTTTGGAGGCTAGAGGTGTACATGTTGCCTACGTTAGGTTGATTAAGGACATGTATGATGGAGTAAAGTCCCGAGTGAGGATGATGGGTGGGGACTCGGACCATTTTCCGGTTATGATAGGGTTGCATCAGGGGTCGACACTCTGCCCTTTTTTGTTTGCTTTGATGATGGATGTACTGACGCGCCATATCCAAAGGGAGATGTCGTGGTACATGCTATTTGCAGATGATATTGTATTGATTGATGAGACGTGAGAAGGTGTCAATGCGCAATTAGAGGTATGGACGCAGACCTTGGAATCTAAGGTTTCAAGTTGAGAAGGATCAAGACAGAATACTTGGAGTGTAAGTTCAGTGGCGAGACTCAAAGAGGGGAAGGGGAGGTGAGGCTGGACTTGCATGTTATCCCTAGGAGAGGAAGTTTTAAGTACCTTGGGTCTATTCTTCAAGGGGATGGGGATATTGATGAATATGTCACACATTGTATTGGGGCGGGATGGATGAAATGGAGACTCGCTTCCGGTATTTGTGTGACAAAAAGGTGCCACCGAAACATAAGGGTAAGTTCTACAGTATGGTGATCAAAACAACGATGATGTATGGGGCTGAGTGTTGGCCAGTCAAAATCGCTCATGTCCAGAAGATGAAGGTAGCAGATATGAGGATGTTGAGATGGATGTGCGGGCACACTAGGTTAGATATTGTCACGACCCGAATTCCATTATAGGTCGTGATGGCGCCTAACACCATTGTTAGGAAAGTCAATCCTAGTCAACTAGTGAGTTCTCATTTATTTTACCAAAAATATTCCCAACATTCTCTTAATCTTAAACTTTTAAACCATCGATAATTAGAAAGTTCATGATAACAGAAATATATCCCAAAATAATAGTCTACAAATGTGTGTGCCAGGAACTAGTGTCACAAGTACTAGGGCAACTAGTAGATTGTACAAAAATACCACTATCCTACTGCCTCAAACAGAATAGACAATACATAACAACAACAAAAGAAAAGAACTCTGGTATGCTACTGAACGGCTCAGAAGGGACAGCTCACCGTGAGATCTCGATCAGGAATCAGGAACGCCCGCCGGACGGGTAACTAGATGCACCTGCCTCAGATCCCGTACAGTTAAGTACAGAAGCGTAGTATGAGTACATAAACAACATGTACCCAGCAAGTATCCAGTCTGACCTCGAAGAAGTAGTGACGATGGGTCGACTTGACACTTACTAAGGTCAACAATAATAATATTTAAGTGCTACGCTAAGCATGGATAGAATGAATATAATGACAGTCCCAAAACAAGGAATAATAAGATATTACTTCTTAACAATATATCAATTTCAGTCATGTCATGTAATAAGTTACATTTCAAAGCATTTAAGCAGAGTAAAACACGGAAAAATTCCACATAAATAACACGCGCACATTGGGCCAAGGTCGTACGGCCCGGTCCGATATAATAATAAATTGTGCACTGTCAGAGGGTCGAATGGCGCGAACCATAGATGCATCTATTTTCTACCGAGTGTTGATACCCAATTTTTTCCGTATATTTTTTATATGCAAAATACTTTCGAAATAGCATATTTATGCATATACAAGTATGCCCAAGTGTTTTAGTATTTTTCCTAATTTTTAAAGGATTTTTTTAAATCAATTTATTGCCCATTTTAGCAGTACAAAAACCAATAATTATTCCCAATTTTTTTTTTGGTGAATAACTTATTTTATTCTCATATTTATACCAAAATGTAGCTAGGGTATTTTTTATACATTTTTACAAATTTATTTGGTATTTTAAAAGCCAAATTGCATACAATTGCAATTTTAGCCTATTTTCAGAAGTAACAACATTTTATAATTATGAAACTGGTTCCAATGTTTTTAAATTAATATTTGTATTAATTAACTGATCCAGTACTTTTAATTTATTTTTGAAATCATTTTTTACTATTTTTATAAATTAAAAGGGAAAAACAGGCTATTTAAAATATGGCCTCATTTGCATTTCAATTATAGCCAAATTAACCCCCCAATTGACCCAAGTTCAAACCAATTTGGACCAGCCCAATTCCATTTAACCGAACCCTTAACCCATTTAGAACCACCCGACCCAAATCCCTTTTAATTCAGGCCGTTGATCAATCTGATCAACGGCCACGATCTCCCCTTACCATTTTAATTCACCCAAACCCCTAACCCTAACTTAATTCACTCTATCAGCCGCCCCTGAATTCCTTTCCTCTCTCGAACTCTCTCGAAACCCTAGCCTCTCTCACCAACTCCGACCTCAAGACCCACCGGAAATCATGGCTCCTCCGGCCATGGTAACCTTATACTCACTCCCCATTACTCTTGTGTGCTCGATACTTGAGGAAGCAAGGCCAGACCTCGAAGGCCTTCATCCACACCTATGCCTGCTCGAGTTTTCACGGCCATCGCCGGCCTTGCTCCGGCGTATCCTGGTCCTATGAGCCTATCTCTGACCTTTCCGACCAAGATCGGACCTTTTCCAAGCCTTTCTCGTTTTAGGGTTCCTCTGAAACCCTAGCTATTCGAGGTTTTCTCTGATTGATTTCTTAGATCTTTTCTATATCTGTGCTCTACTTGAGTTTTTAAATATTTTCCCTAATTTTTTTTCTTTCAAAACTTACTTCATTCCGAATTAGGGTTTCTGAAAGTTCAAAGTGTTTCTCCGACTTTTCTTTTCTATGTGTACTTGTCCTCACTGTGCGTATGTGTTTATGTCCTTTTACCACGCATGTGTTCTACTGCTTTCTTATGCTTTCTTACTACTATACGTGTTCTTCTGTGCTTTCTATGTTTCATCTTCCTATTGTGTTTCTATACCATGCTCTCACATGTTTATCTTGCTATGTTTCCCTATATGTTCTTTGGCTATGTTTTTCTGATATCCTTGTGTTCCTCTACTGTATTTTCTACTAAGTTTCTTAGTTCTTTGTTTGCCTTCTACTGGACCTTGTTTGAGTTCCCTTTAAACATGTTTCCTCTACTGTTTTTCTTAAGTGTTATACTATCTCTTTTCTCTCCTGAATTTGTTTAAGTCCCAGGTTTTTCTTGAACATGTTCCTTCTACTCTCACTATGCTTCAAATCAGTTTCTTCACTCTGTTGTTTCGAATTTGCTATTGTATCTGTTTGCTTTCTCATGAATTTCTGAAAGAAATCTCTGAGCCCGTTGCCTCCTTATCTCTGATTCGAGTTGGAAACCCTAGAATTTGGGGGTTTTACCAAGGTTTGAGCAAGTGTTTGAACTGGGGTTCTATTTTGGAACCCTTAACTCTTTTAGACTCATTCTGAGTCTACGAGCTGAGTTTGAACTCCTTTGTTTACGACTCTGAACTTTTTCTATGCTAGACTCTTCTACTGATAAGCATGATAGTTCTTCGTGTTTAAGCATGGCCGTATGTTTTATATGTGTGATGAATTCTTTCTTCTGAAAAGGTTTTCCAACTTATGATTGATTAGAATCTTATTTTTTAGGGTTTGATTGATTGTTACTGATTTTCCTTAAGTAAAACCTTTCTTCCCCCCTTTTTTCCGACTGGGTTCACTCACACCAAGTATTTGGACTTCTGATTTCGTGGCTGTTAATTGACTCTCTTTCCTTAATTATACAACCGTGTACTGTCAAAACCCTGCCCTTAAATAACTATTATGTATTTACCCCTCTTGTACTGCTTTGAAAAGAGTTTGATTAATTTATTTTCTTAATTAGTTATGCCCGTTTGAATCTGAACCCCTTAATTAAGGGAGATTTTTGTGTAATTGATTAGCAATCAGCTTTCAAAATTATTTCTTGCCTTGTTTCTGCCTGCTCTCTACACTATAAATACATGACTCCTTAAGGAGAAAGAGACCTTAAAAAATCACAATCACGATCTCTTCTGAACTTATACTTAGAGCATTCTTGCTTCTTGTCTGCACTTTGGCTTTCACAAGACTACTGCTTCTCTTTACTTGCTTCTTTGAAACTGGTATGTCCTAAATTAATTCCAGTATCACCCCAATATGTTTATTTACAGTCTTGTATGCATGTCTACTTTCTACCCTTTGTAAAGTGTAACATCTGATTTAAAATGCCTATATGTTATTGCCTGCTTCTCTTCCTTATGAACAATTGCTCCCTACCCCATTACCCATATGTGTTTATAGTTTCAGCATTGTTGTTTACTTTGCCGTTCATGTTTAGTGATTAGCTATGTGTGTTTCTTTCTTTACAACTGTTTCTATTATAAATCCCTACCCCTATCCCCCTCTATGTATCTGAGTTGAGGTTTTGGCCTGGCGTATCAAAATTACTGCTCAGGTCTGAACTTGATCTTCAATAGATCCTAACTCCTAAGATTTGGCTGACAGGTTGGTCAGGGGTGTGCCAGCATCCTAATTGCTAGGCATGACCACTAGCCTGCCATGGCCTTCCCTAATTCCTCCTCTGTTGCACTTACACTTACTCTTAGACTCTAA